CCGCGGAGGGATGGAGTGGAGGGTGCGGAGGTTGAGGTGGGGGGTGTGGACATTGAGGAACAGGGTGTGGGGGTTGAGAAGGAAGAGGTGGGAGGGGGCAGGAGTGGGAGGAGGGACAGTAGTTGGGGGGGCAGCAGGCGCAGGACCAGCACGGAGCACCATGCTCTGCAGCAGGACCTGCAGATTTGAGTTTAGCCCTCGGACCTCAGCCAGCTGCTCCTGGCGGACCTGGAGGTCTGCCCGCATCCAGGTCTCCACTGTGCGGTGCAGGGCTCGCAAGGACCCCAGGTGCTGGTCCCAGTACTCCCACTCCGTGGTGGTGTTCTGGAGCAGGCCGCGGGTGCGGGAGCATGTCCCGGGCGGGGTGGTGCGCCCTGCACGAGCAGCTGGTGCAGCTGTAGAGAAAGAAGAGAAGTGGTCAGTTCTCCCTGGGGACGCAGCGGATGATGCCCAGTCCCCTTCCCTCCCCCCCACGACATGAGGGTGACCATGCCCTGCACCGTCAGAGCCGCTGTGCTTGTACAGAGGCCATGGTCAGGATGTCTGGCTCTCCCGGGTGAGGTGGGGGGAAAATGTTAGAGGGGGCTTGTGAAGGGAGGGCGTCCTGCTCTGTCCCGCCCTGGGATCAGGAGTATGTCTGGTCTCTTTACACACGTGTGTGGCTATTAGGCCACAGCCCCTGTGTGGCACACAGCTGGGGCCATCTGTCCAAGGGTGGCATGACACGTGTTCACATGTTGCTGCATGATCCGTGGTAAGCAAGGCCCACATACACGGTCCCTGGTCCCTCTTCCCCCCCCCCCCCCCCCCCGGGCAGGGGACAGTTCTGTCACTTACCCAGTATGGCCTCCCCGGACGACCCTGCCGACTCCGGTGCTGGAACTGCTTGTGGTGGCCCCTCCGGTGCGCCCAGGTCAGGGCCCTCCGGTCCCGGCTCGCTGCCTCCCAGGCTGGTGAGGACTGCCCTGGCCCCCAAGAGTCGGTCGAGGGCAGGGAAGTAGGGGCAAGTGGCAGCCCCTGCTGCGGTGCCACCCCTGGTGGCCCTGGCATACGCCTGCCGCAGCTGTTTCACTTTCAGGCGCACCTGCTCTTGGGTGCACCTGTGTCCCTTTTGGACCATGGCGGCCACTATGTGGCCGTAGATGGCCGCGTTCCTCCACCTAGTGCAGAGATCATGGAGGTTGGGGGCCTGCCCCCAAACCTCAATGAGGTCCATGACCTCCGCACTAGACCAGGAGGGCGCGCGCCATCTATGGCCCCTGGATGGCCCCTGGGTGCTGGAGAACTGGGCAGGGGACTGTTCGCTGGCACTGGCTCCCTGGCTTATCGTGGGGGCCACTGGGTTGGGGTAGTGACTGCTGGCAGGGCTGGCTGTGTCAAGTGCCGTCTGGCCAGAGTCTACCCCTTTAAGGGCCCGGGGCTGGGGGAGAAGAGAGGAGTTTTCCTGGTTGTGCCCAGAGTGGCCACCAGGGGAACCTGGGGAGGGGTAGACTCCCACTAGTTCGAATTAAGTGGCTACACAGCCCTTAATTCGAACTAGTTAATTCGAACTAGGCGTTAGTCCTCTAGTGGGAGGCTAGCCCTCCCCAGGTTTTCCTGGTGGCCACTCTGGCCAACACCAGGGAAACTCTATTGCCCCCCTAACGTCCGTTAGTTCGAACTAACTTTGTAGTGTAGACATACCCTATGTCTGGCTCCCTGACAGCTCCTGTGCTGAACAGAGATCTGAGTCAGGAGAGAACTGAACTAAAGTCCAACTCAAGTGCAGCAGACCTATGGAAAGAGGAGAATGCCTCCTTGGTGTGTCACAGATTTTCAATATCCTCTCCAGTGCTATCGTTTTACAAGCTCTCTACACATGTAGATTATGAGGGTACTCTTTTCTTAACAGACCGAAGAGTGGCAATTCTCACAACTAATAATTGTGTTCTGTTTTTGAGTGACTGTCATTATATAACCATTACGCTGGTTGTTAAAAGTGTGGCCATTACTACAATTAACTACACTTTTAACTACAGGCAGTCCCCGGGTTACATGGATCCGACTTACATCGGATCCCTACTTACAAACGGGGTGAGGCAACCCCGCACTAGCTGCTTCCCACCAGCAGACCAGGGAGACGCAAAGCTAGCGCCCTTCCCCCCCAGCAGACCAGGGAGACGCGGAGCGGCTTTTCTCAGCAGACACCTCAGCTTGAGAATAAAGGACTGAGGGAAGTGAGGTGTGGGAGAATAAAACTGAGCTCTGGAGAAATGTTTGGCTAGAGTTTCCCCTACAATATGTACCAGTTCCGACTTACATACAAATTCAACTTAAGAACAAACCTACAGTCCCTATCCTGTACGTAACCTGGGGACTGCCTGTATTTATATTGGCCAAATGTGTGGTTTGGCCTATGCATTAGGTGAAATGCTCAGACAACTGAAATTATTTCGGAATACGATGAGATCTGTATCCCACACAGAAGAATGTGAGAGAGAATGTGATTCATGGATTTTTAGGGCTAGAGAAGAGCACTGTAATCATCTAGTCAGACTTCTTGTGTAAAAGAGGCAATAAAACCGTGTCAGTTAATTTTTGCATCAAGCCACAATTATTTCTGTTTGAGCTATCGGCTGTCTTTTAGAAAGACTTCAGTCTTTAAATCAAGAATTCAGGTGTCCAACAATCTCCCACTCCCATTGGGAAGTTGTTTCAGTAGCTTAAAAATGTGGACCTTATTTGTAACGGAATTTGTCTAATATAGCTGAAGAAGGCTTAGCAAAACCTAATGGTTGCAAGATAATGCTAATGAGCAATTTAGTATCAGAAATCTCTTCTCCCTACTTAAGCGGCGAGGAGTCTCCCTACTTGTAGACCTTTTAATGGTCTGTTGGATCACATGAATGAGTTTCTAAACTGTCTCACTGTTAGGCATGTTTTTCATACCCTGTACTCATTCCTGCAGTTCTTTTTTTAAACCTTTTTCTGTTTTTCAACATGATTTTGGAAGTGTGAACAGCAGAACTGGACACACTATTCCAGTACTGATCTAATTAATGCTTTATAACGAGGTCATTCCATCTTCTCTTCTCCTGTTACTCTGCTTATGCATCCAATTACAGTATTTGTCCTTTTTTAGCTGAAGTGCTACATTTGGAGTGCATATTTAGTTGGTTAACTACAACTACCCTAAGTCCTTTTCCATGTTCTTGCTTTCCAGGATGCCTAGATTTATGGCCTTGTATTTAGCTATATTAAAATGCATATTGCTGAAATGAGCCCACCTACCAAGTTATCTAAATAACTGCTCTGCCTAACTGACCTATCATTATTCTTGTTTACCACTTTATCAATTTTTGTGCTATTTATCTATTTTATCAGCAATGATTTTATATTTTTCTTGTGATATAAGGGACTGACCAAGTACCAAAATTCAGAAAAGATGGCAACAAAAACTGGAAAAAAAAGAAAAAAATTCTTAATCCTTAAATTGAACACATTTGCACTACCGGGCTTAAGTGTGACCAGCAATAAATAAATAAATTGGGAGGTGTCTTTTAAAAAGGTCTTTACTACGATTAGTGAAGGTCTGAAAATATATATGTTCTTGCTTTTTACATTAGACATTCAAATCTTGTTTTGTCATTTCTCAGAAGAATCTATGGAAGACTCAGGGGATAGCCGAGTTAGTCTGTTACAGAAAAAAACAATAAATGGTCTGGTAGCACTTCATAGACTAACAAAACATGTAGATGGTATCATGAGCTTTCGTGGGCATGAAGAAGTGGGCTGTGCCCGCGAAAGCTCATGATACCATCTACATGTTTTGTTAGTCTATGAAGTGCTGAACACTGACTGGTATGATTATACTACCAAAGAAACTAAGTAAATAGGTCTTGGAAAGAGTTGACTTTTATTGGTACATGTTAGTAAATGTCAATTTCACCATTAACACACAAGCCCATGGAACACTATTTCTTTTCATGGTAACTAAAATTTACAAGTGGGCAAAATAAGAAAAATACTGTTTGAGAACTTATTAGCGCTGAAGGATATTCAATTTGCATATTTTGACGTGATGCAGACAATTTGTTTTTAATGGTTAGAAGGCTTTACCTTCTTGAATCTCAATGTTTATCATGAATAACTATTGTCTGACCCTTTTATTTTCTGACACCCATAATTTAAGGGTAGAAACTTAAATAGAAACTTAAATTCTACCCATAATTTAAAGGTAGAAACTTAAATAGATAAAAAGAGGAAAATGCATAAAAATACACACTGATATCTGTCAAAATAAAAAATAAAATCCGCCAAACCTATATGTAAATAAAAACAGATTGAAATAATGACAGGTTTTTTATTCATTCTGTTTATAACTTTTCCTATTTTGTTTTAACTACCACCTATTTTAAGTCATATGCCTGAACAGCTGAAAGAAAAGTTTTTATTATACATCTAACACTTACACACTTTCAACCGAGGGCTGAGTTTTCTTGCTTTGATCCAAGAATGACCTTCAGCAAAACGGGGAACTCCAGAGGGTGGAATCCTAATTTCTGAAGTTCAGAAAACCTTTCAAGACATGTTTATATAGCATAGAGAAGCAAAAGGGGGAGGGGAAGGGGGAGATGAGGAGCATATCTGAAATGAAGTTTGGGTCAGCATGTGAGAAAAGGACACTTTTCTTACTTTCAGATGATCATAGCAGTATGGGGAACAATTGTGATTGTAGCACAGCGAAAGGACCTGGTTCTTTTTCCAGCAGACCACATGGCGGTCTGAGCTCTCAGCTAGAGTTGCCAACCCCCAGGATTGTTCTGGAGCTTCCAGAAACTAAAGATTAATATTCAATTACACATTATGTGATGAAACCTCCAGGAATATGTCTAACCAGAATTGGCATCCCTACTCTGGGCACAGAGACTAGTCATGCATGTGTGTGCACTGAGCTCATGTGCATGTGTTTTATAGAATTAAATATTTTTGGTTTTTTAAAAACATATTTCATAAACTAAATCATAATCTGTACTCAGTGTTCAATACTTCCTACCCATGGACTGATATTATTTTCAGGCTGCTAGCAACAAATTTAATTAAAGTCTATCTTTCCTTACATGGATGAGTAATACTCTTTGACTAGACAGAATGATGCAATGCTTTTTTCCACTGCCCGTATGCAGCATGTGCAAGTATTCAAGACCACTAAACTTCTGGCCCAGCTAAAATTACCTTAAACTTGTGCTCGTAATTCTCAAAAGCTTCCATGACCATGCAGACAGCCTCCATGGAGCGCTCCAGTCGACTGTCTACCCCGTTAAACCGGTACATGCTGCCAGAAACATCCACTACCAAGCGCAAACGCTTAGGCTTCTGCTGTGGGCTCCCAAGCTAAGAGAGAAAAGAACAAGAAAGAACTGTATGAATAGGAAATCTGCAGTTTTAATAAGAACAGTGGAACCTTACAAATCCATGGACATCCACTTTATATCTGCGGGTATACGCATCTGTGGATGTAGATGTAGATATCCACAGCTCATTTTTGCAGATACAAATGCAGATACAAATTTTGTATCTAGAACCCTGCAAATTTGCAGATATCTGCTTTATATCTGTGAGTATCTGCATTCGCAGATGTGGATGCAGATATCGATAGCTCATTTTTGTGGATACGGATTCAAATACGGATACACATTTTGTATTTGTTCAGGGGTCTAAAGAACAGAAAACTTTAAAAGGAGTTATCTCATAAACTTTAAAAGGAGTTATCTCATACTTTTCCAAAACACTAGGCAACAAAAACCTCTTTTCTAGCAGGCAAGCTCTCTCTAGGCTGTGCCCACGGAAGCTCATGGTACCATCTACATGTTTTGTTAGTCTATAGAGTGCTACCAGACCATTTGTTGTTTTTTAAGTTTCTCTCTCTAGCAAGTTCAGATTATTTTTTTAAAAGTGAAATTATTTGAATTATTCTATTTAATAGTAGAGAAAAGTTTATAGGAGATACCTGAATCCAGACGCTCTCTTTTTCCATTATACACTCAATGACTGGAAACAAAGTATGAAATTTTCATACATTTATAGAGAAATACTTTGGTTGTTAGATTTCTAATTAACAGCATTTCATTGCAATAAAAAGAATCTCAAATTTCCACTTTCTGCCATGACATAAGTTACTAAAGGATCTACTGAAGTTACTACTTTCTAAAAGCATGTGAAATCTTTTTCTGATTAACTCTTCCATTTGTACATTCTGAAAGCATTTTATTGTCTGTTTTAACAATTTCTGGCATACTAGTTTGTGGAAAGGTATTTTATTACATATGCAATGAGGTAAGTTTGGATTCAAATAAAAGGCTTTTAAAAGATGGTCAGGCAAAAAGCCAAGTATGTGATATGTTTATCTGTGACTCATTTCCAAATATTTCTTTCATTCAGATACCATTTGAAAATTTTTATTTTACTTTCATATTATTATTAATGCAAAGAACTGCAATATCAGCTCCCCCCTGAAAAAAAAAAAACAACCCACAACCCTCCAAAGCCCATGATTATATATTTTTAATTCAAAATGTAAAATTACTTCCTTAGCATTTTCACTGCTATGTAAGCTTTTTTTTTTTCATAGGCTTTGTCTACACTGCAGGGTTTTCGCACAGGAAGCTTTTTGCGGAAGAGATCTTCCGCAAAAACTTCTTGCGCAAAAGCGCATCCACACCTCAAAAGCGCATTGCAAAATGCATGGATGCTGCATGGACGTTCTTGCGCAAGAGAGCTGTGATTGCGGAGTTATGCTGCCCAGGCCCCGCAAAACGGTCATCTGCCCCTGTGTCCACACATGCCTTTTTATGCAAGAGTTGTAGTGCAAAGAGGAGCTATTCCTCAAGGGGAGAGGAATACCTCTACCAGCAAAAGCCTTCTGTCCTGTTGATTTATGGTATTTTTTTTTGCACAAAAATGCGCTTGAGGTGTGGACGCTCCCAGTTTTTGCGCAAAAATGGCCGATCTGTATTGTATTGAAACATACAAACCCAGCATTTCGAAGAGTACTGGAAATTAGGATATAATAGCTCTGATGTAGGATGGCTAGGCTGCATAAGCTTTTCAAAACTATTAGCAAGACCACATAGTATGCAAAATAAATTACAGAGAGTTACATCAAATGTGTATTTAGTTACTCAGAAGGAAGCTGTTGTATATATGATTGTTTGCAAAATAAAGCTCCTTCATGTATAAATATTAAAAATAATCTGCTATGTTGAATCTGGCTATTACAATATAATGATGATCTGGACAACTAGTCTTCCTGTTGCTTTGTTGGTATATGTCAACTGGTTTCCCTTTCAATGCCTCATATAATTCTAACAATTTTTTTTCCTGACAAATGTCCAAAATGTTGAGTCATAATAAAATATTAGGTTTTTTTAAAGTCTTTATTTAGATTTTAACTATTCACTCAATTTCTCATTCATTTTGTATTAGAATTATTAATTTGCTAATCCAAAAACTTTAGAGCTTGAAAGTGTTCTCATATTGTGATAAAGTGTGTTAATGAGAAAAGAGAGGTGGTAGTTGTTGAATTTTACTTGAACTTGTTAACCATCTTTATTGGGCTGACATCATGAAGCTCAAGAAAACAGTAAACTTGCTAGTTGCACCTACTGTTTATGGAATACTTACTTCTGGCTCAAGTTCTCCCCTTCGTTTATAAATGGCTTTTTCTCCTGTTAGCCCATCAATTATTTTTGCATCATCTAGCTCTCCAATAGCTTGGTGTCTCAGCCACTGTCTTTCCTTACCTTTGGCCTACAAGAGAAAAGCATCCTTAATTCAGCATTCAGTGACGCTGGCATGTTTTACACTGCTTAAGAGATACAGAACGTGACCTAAATATGGATTTTCTTTGGAATTAAGTGACAGCTCTGGAACGCGTTAATGAAACCTGAACACATTTTCATAAATGCTTGGTCTCTCTTGCTCAGTCACTAATTACTGTAGGCAAAGAATATATTTTTCCCCACAATTTTTGTCACTTCTAAGCCTCTTCACATAAGGACTTTGGAATATGGACCATGTAATTTTGCATGTTAATTGCATATATATTGGAAAATGGTACACAAGTGAATCCATGCAGAAAAGCATAGAACTAGAGGGACTGGCACAACAGAAGTGTTCTCCATTCAGGTATTGTGAGAAAATATACTAGATGACTAAAATAGAGGCAAAACTCAACAGTATTACATAAAAATAGTATACTTGAAGAAGAATCCTTCATAATGCTTTACAAGTCGTTCTTTTTACAATAGTATTCATAAGAATCTGGTATGAAATTTACAACCAAAACATTGCAAATAGCAATCATCAAGACAACACCCTTTTTGCAACCATGGCTGTTTGTGCTCTGGCTTTTAACACTAATGCACCATTCTTTACAGCTCAGTGCTGCAGTTCATATGCTAGTACAGGTTGGACCTCCCTGGTTTGGCCCCCTTGGGACCTGAGCTGTTGCAGACCAGGGGAGGTCAGTGCTCCACAGCTGGCTGCTTAGCTCCCGGACTCCTCTCCCTGAGGCTCCCTTCCTAGTTGCTGGCCCCGCTAATGCTGGCTTGGCAGAGGCTCCCCACCCTGCTGCCTGCTAGTTTCTGCCAGGGTCTCCTGGGGCTCCTGGCCAGGATCGGCTGGCCACTACCACCCCACTGCTGTAGGGGGTTCCCAAGCCAGGGCCAGGGCTTCCCCATCGCCTGGCCCAGCTGACACTAGAGGATTCCCAGCCAGTGTGGGGGCTCCCTGGCTACCACCTGGCCCTGATGATGTGGGGATTCCTTGGCCAGGGTTGGGGTTCCCAAACTGCCACTTGGCCCAGGCACTGCTGGCCCAGTCAGAGCTCCACAGCTCCCGTGTTCTCCCGGCTGGCTCCCACTCCCACCTCTGTGCCTCTTTGGTCCAGCAACATCCATGGCCATGCCGGATCCTGCTGGACTATAGAGTCCCGGATTTCGGAGGTTCAACCTGTTATACTCCCACTGAAGTAAGATCTGATGACTGAGGAGTTGGATTCTTTGACAAAAATAATGTATTTAAAAACATTTTTGAATGATCATTTTACAACGACTTGCATGTTGTAGGATCAAGTTAAAGTCAGCACAGTCTATTTGCTGTGTGTGGGTTTCATGTTTCACTTAATACATGGTCAGAATCACAGGAACTCAACTTTAATCTGCTGGCCAGTACTGCTGAGATTTTCATGAACAGAGAGAATTATTTGGGCATGGAATTGGGTTATTTGTGTATGTCCATCTCTCCCTCTCAGAAGTTGGACATTAAGTTCCTTTTCTGTAAATTAAACATCAATCTGATTGGATTAAGGCGTAAGTATTATAGTTCTTCATCTTGTGCTTCTGGAGTCACATGATTATGAGGACTAAAGGGCTTAAGTATTCTCTTAATTGTCTCTCATTGGCCTCATAGACCCTGGTTCTCTCAACGAAGTAATGTCTGTTTGTCTTCCTTTGAAATTACCTAGGCAGAGTTCTTCTGGAGAAGGGACCATGCTTTGCCAAGCCAAAAGAAGTTCAAACTGCATGCCTAGAATCTGAGAGAATGGATTTCTGGAACTTTTTATGCTGAAGCCACCTATTTGATGACCTAGCACAGTCCATAAAGAATCTATATTCCAACCCCATGGCCTCTGGCATGTGTTCAAATGTAGGTGTTTTGAACACATCCTCAGTTTGAATTCAGTTTTAGCAAAACCTACTTTTGGTGGTTAATGGATGGATTCATTAAAGGTCTGAGCTGTAAAACCTCATATATCCAGGTGGCTTTGTTAGAAATGTTCTCTCTATTCTCAGGATAAGGGATTTCGCTTTACACCCCCATTTCTAGGTTCTCCAGGCAATGAGAAACCTTCACCATCCACTTCAAACCCACATAGCCCTGAATACTGAATTTCATAGTGGAACAAATGATTAAATAATTCTTTGGATCAATGGCTGTTAGTTCATTGTTTTTTCTTGTCTAAGTAGCTTTATGTCTGCAAAAGAACCAGTGAAATGAAAAACTCCATTTTTTTCCTGACAGAGTGGGCGTACGGACATCAGAACTTCTACCCAAAGTTCTTTCTTCTTACTCTTTAAATCAACTGTAATCTTTTCTTCCTTTTCACCTTATTACCAGAACATGGAGAAGTAGCATTACCTGCTTAATCACTGAATTCTACTTGGACAGAACATCATCTTAAGAGGTATCTCAGCTCCCATATGGGCAAGAACAAAGGTTTTATAACTGTGAAAGCCACCACCTTCATACTGGTTAGGGCAGCAATCGGGGATCTCATATAAGAATGGGCAGAACTCATCCTTCTTACTCAAGAGCTCATTTTAAAAGAACTATTTACATGGGCAGAGAGGAATATGAGGAAATTTGCAAAGCAAATAATTTGGGCATCTCCTCTCATTTATAAAGCATTAAAGTGAAAGTCTCATCCTCCTCTGATGTTGCCTGAGGTCAGCTGGCTTGCGATCTGTCATCCTGCCTTGATCCCTACTTTATTGACTCTTAGCTTCCAGATGATATAGAAATCTTCTATCAAAATGTCACAGGTATGGCCAGTTTGATCTGTCTCACAAGGAGTCACAAACATGAAAGAAATGTAGAGTTCACAGCCCTGTCTATAAGCATTTGAGCATGGACAGATCTTTAACACGTCAAGTTCTGATGACTGATATTCTTTCAAGTATTTGTGATCTGCTTCCTCTTGGTTGACAGTAAAGGGAAAACTCCAGAAGGCAATAAAGGTTCAGCTTCATTGAGCATATTCTTAACTAATTTAGTTACTGTTTATACTGACAAAGCTATAGCTTTGAGGATATCCATAATTGAAGGAAAAGAAGTGTGGGAAGAAAATGTTTTGACTAGCAGCATGGTTCACACTAATCCTATTATTTTAGTCATTTTCAGGGATGTGTTTCAAGTGATGACAGCTTCTTCTTGAAGTATGTTTGCTAATCTAATTATGTATTTCAGTTGTAAATTCCTTAAGGGAAAACAGAGTTGACATTGACAGTGCGCTTTTCCTGCTAAAACATGAACTAGTTTCTTCTCCAAAACACTGCTAAAGTCTTTAGAATGTTAATGACTATCACTTCCATGTACAATTGCATACTGTGTCCATTCTATCTATATAGTGAAAACAAAAACACTCTAAATGCTTTTAATTTGTTTTGCAAATGCAAGCGAAGCTACAAAATTAGCAAGAGCAAAATGTGCCTAAAAACTCTTGAGGAATAAACAATGTTTTTTATGTCAATAAAATGATGGCCCATCTTTAAAGGATTTATGATAAAGCAAGAAAGTAAAAAAAAAAAAGGTCTGAACAATATAAACAACTTGCACACATTATGCAATCATAACAAGTTCAAATTTGCCTTTGTTTCAAACTTAACTTGGAAAGCTATGAATATGTAAGTCTAGTTATTGTAGTTTCTAATATTACCCAAATTAAGAAAGTGAGGATTTTTAAGGAGCTTATTTTTCAAAACAATAATTACACAGTGAAATTAGACCTAAAAATTACATCACTTTTAATTGCACCATTGATTTTATATTCCTGAAATAAGGAGTATGTTTTCTACTCTCTATTGATATACCTACCTACTCCCATTTAAAATGTAAAATGTCTTTTCCTTTCCAACTTTCTTCATTTTTCTCTTGAACTTGTTTTTGTTTACAGCATTTGTGTATCAGCATGGCTAGAAACTAGCACAGTTCTATGGCTTGTTACTGATAATACAGCAAGCAAACAAAATAAAGGACAAATGATCTTGCTGGTTATCTCCTAAAGACAGTGGCTATTTTTATTTTTAAATGTACGAATGAGAGATTTATTTTAAACTGAGTCAAACTTAAGTTTTAGAAATTCAAGCTTTTGTACTACACAGATGGGAATATTAGGGAGTGTGTTATTTACTTCATTTGAAATTAATTTTAAACATTCTGGGTGCCTGAATGCCTGAAAAGCTCTGACCAGGTGGGAGCCATGGGCCTGTTATGAAAATCTGTCTCAATCATACTTCTGTGCTCCTACACGAGTTATCCCTGTAGTAAGCTGTGTAGGAATATGCCATCATTTTCTGGGTTGGCGAGAATGCAGGTCCACTTTCATGCTACTTTTGAAATGGTCACATATGCCATTATTTCCATTAATTGTATGTAGGACCTGAATTTGCTCTCTTGACTCCCAAAGATATTATTTATCAAATAGTGATATAATGTTAAAGTTCAGCTGGTAACATTTTGGTCCTAATCTAGTGAGTTGACAGTTCTCTTTACCAGTGAATCAAGTGTTACCTGCAGATTATCTAGGATAATTCGTAGAGACTGAACTTGTCTTCGGACAGCTCCAGAGAATCTTTCATAAGTAGATGCATCATATTCACTCATCTTGATCTCCTTTAATCTGAAGCAAGAAAAAGCTAAAAAAATTAAGACTGTAATCACACGAAAAAGCATCTAATGCATACAGGTAGAGGTAAATTTGTTGGTGGATAATGGCTAACTTCAAACAACACTGAAGAATACCAGCTGCTTTTGTTAAAAGTGATGGAGTTAGTAACTGTTGTCCACAAAGCCTTTAAAATGTAATCAAGGGTACTAATCCTTTAGCAGTCTCAGATCTTTTTGTTTTAGCAATTAGGCTGCAAGTCGTATGTTTTGATAACTGTGATAAAATTACGCAAGCGTTTGCTGGCTCAGATGTTGCGATGCATACATAAAGTGAGTGTTAGGGTGTGTGTCATTTAACACAAAGATAAGGGTCAAGTAGTAGGGTCTGCAAATTTGAATACTAACCTCTGTTTAAAGGCCTTTTCACCCATCTCCCTTGCAGCTCTCTTCACCTCCTCAGGAACAGCATCTTTCTCAGCCTGAGATATCTGGTAAACTTTGTGGCCAGCATCCAGTCTATAGGGCCCACCTTTGCCGCCCAGCCCTGCCGTGTCTCTCCCACCTAGAACAGTCCATGTGAAAATAAAAAATGTCTCATAGCTATGACATAAATCTTCCTCTAAAACCTCCGCTATCACACCAATGCATTTAAAAATTTGTACAAACTTTCCCTGAGTCCCATGGAAAATACTTTATTTGCTACTAAAAATAACCGTCTACTTTCAACAGTGCAGAAATGCCATCATAAAGCAGAGGTCTGACTCCAGTTTTATACTCTTAATCTACATTGTTTTGTGATCAAAATCAGGTCCTTCATCCTTCAAGGGTAAGACTCACCCTTGTGCAAAGAGCTTACACCCCCACTTAATTCCTATTTTAAATCCTCAAAGCTACAACATTTGGTTAATGTAAACTAACAGGCTACGTCTACATTGGCCCCTTTTCCGGAAGGGGCATGTTAATTTCAGCGATCGTAATAGGGAAATCCGCGGGGGATTTAAATATCCCCCGCGGCATTTAAATAAAAATGTCCGCCGCTTTTTTCCGGCTTTTAGAAAAGCCGGAAAAGAGCGTCTACACTGGCCCCGATCCTCCGGAAAAAGCGCCCTTTTCCGGAGGCTCTTATTCCTACTTCAAAGAATAGGAATAAGATCCTCCGGAAAAGGGCGCTTTTTCCGGAGGATCGGGGCCAGTGTAGACGCTCTTTTCCGGCTTTTCTAAAAGCCGGAAAAAAGCGGCGGACATTTTTATTTAAATGCCGCGGGGGATATTTAAATCCCCCGCGGATTTCCCTATTACGATCGCTGAAATTAACATGCCCCTTCCGGAAAAGGGGCCAATGTAGACGTAGCCACAGTATAATTCTAGAATTTATTGCCTGTGCACCTATGGTTTTACTACTGTGTGTATAGTGTGGTTGCTCATGTCATTCAGAATTTAGAATAAGGAGACATCAAACTCTAGGTATGGATTGAATCAGACAGATATTAACAACCTTAACCAAATGTAAGAAATGCAAATGTCTAATATCTACTAGTCTGGTCCTGGGTTTCTATGTTAATGTGATTATGAAGAACTTTTTACTTTGCAGAAAATGCAGGCAGGAAAATGCAGGAAAATAATTTCATGATACAAGACTTTTGAAATGTATAAATGCCACCAAAGTTATCTGAGACATCCTTCAAAGACTCATGCAAATCTCGAGAAGACAACACATACAAACCTGTTCCACCAGCCCATGTGTTTCCACCAACATGGGGCATGTTGTCTAAATCTACCTTTCCATGCTTAGGGGTGCTCACATCCAAACCACTGTCTCTCTCAATGGTTATCTGTGAAATTAAAAAGAAAGTACGTTGCAAATATCTCTTATTATTATACCCAACATAAATTCTATGACCACCTTGATGGCACAAGGAAAATACATTGTGTCCTACTTAGAAGCCATAGGCCAAGACTGAACTTAAGAAATGTATTATTTCATAGGTCAATACATACAAAAGGGTAAAATAACATCTAGGAGGAGAAAGGTCAGAGATACACAGTCAGTTAGGATATTGCAAACGAACTAAACCAGGGAGCAGTCTTGGGACTTGTCCATGCTAGGAAAACAGGTATCTATGTAGTAACTAACACTTTCAAAATCTGAACATAGAGAGGATAAGGAATAGTTTTAACTTAGTTTGCTGAGTTGAAGCTGAGGGATCACCTCACCCAGCTAATATGTTAAAACTCAGTGACTTCTTTCAAGATGCCAGCCTCAGAGACCTGAGGGCTGAACTATTCTCTTCATTCACAGAACAGGCAGTGGTAATGTAAACTTCCTGCATCTCTCTACCACCATGCTTGAACCCTACTCTTAAATAAAAGGTTAGTTCAAATTACATGCACATTTAATCCTGGACTTCCCTGCCAAGACTGCCAACAAAGGTGATATATTTGTAATGGTAGTTTTCTAATATGCACACCTGTCCTCTGGGAGGCTGAATTTTGGTAATGGATGCAAAATACAAAACAGCTGTCCTATGGTAATGACAGCATCATACAGGAGGCATTTAGGTAAAAGAATGAATTTCCCTATTACCACTCCTCTGAGTCATCTAGTGATTCCATTCCTAATGTATACATTTTCTTTATAGTCATAATTTTTATATATTAATGCTGTTTACAGTTACTTGAAATATAATGACACATAATTGTGGGTAATAACATCATTCTAGCTTCTATGAATGAATTTCTCCCACCCATATCATTTATAATTACTCTATATTTATTTTACTGAAAATTGATGCATTCTGAGAGTACACAATTTTACTGCCCATTCAGGAACAAGTTCCTGAGCATTAGCATGATTTCCATCAGAGCTGAAGAATAACTTAGTCCCTGAATTCACTGTGTGCTGCAGCCTCAACACAACACTGACAAGAATTCCCCATGTTCCTATGTTCTGAAAACACATTCTAAAAACAGTCTATAGGCAACAGCTCAAAGAATATATTTTTTTCATCCTTATATTATTTGCATTAATTCTTAAAGGTACAATGCACTCGCTGTGAAACATGTCATCGCTGTTAAAGATAAACAAAGATAAATGCAATTAATTTAACATTTGAATACTAACACAGATTATAAAAAGAACACCACAGTGTTTTAGTTTTATTTTAATGGGTTGTATAATATTTTAGTAAGTAGGTGCCTTCAGGGATAAAATAAATAGTATCTTTTAGTGTCACTGCTTAACTAGCATTCTCAACATGGGTTTAACAAAATTGCTGAGTTTATTTTTCAAAAATGAATGTAAGCCTTACAAGATATAATGAAAATATTTATTCTTTAAAAAGGAACTAAAAATATGGGAAATTTGCTGCACTTTGGCCCTCATGTCCCCTTTCTCTATTGAAAAATAAACAAAAATCCTACAAAGGGAAGCATTATGTAGCTTATTTTGCTGTACATAGTGATATTCAGATGGTACTTCATTTTTCCACTGAGCAAAGTTCACAAAGTGCTGGTTATTTTGAAAGACAGCCATTTGTGACATATTATTTATTGGAAAGTTATAGCTTGAATCAGAATTCAGTACTTGCTAGTGTTAGCAATTTTAAAATTAAAATAAAATTAAAGTCCTAAGTATCATCTACCCACTTTTCAAGTATGGAACTAGCCTTACACTCTGATAATTTAATACATACATTAGATTTTCTTAAGAACTTAGCACCTCTATTGCTCTTATTTTGATTAACATTACCGTCTCATTGCTCTAAATCACAGCAAAATAGTCAACACTGTCTTAATTTTTATTAAAAAAATGAAAACAAAACAAAAATAAGTGAGAAGGCAAGTGAGCAAAAGTTTTAGAATTAGTGTTAGTTTAGCAACTTGCTCTTACTAACAGTGGTGCTGGAGAAATTCTTGCAGTGGGTGTGCTGAGCGGCATCCTCCAGCCCTATCTGTGCCCCTTAGAGCATTCCTCAGAGCAAGGGCTGGCAGTCAGGACCCTGGGGCCAGCAGTGAAGACCCCGAGAGGAATACTGTGCAGGCACCAGAGCCCTCAGGCCTGCAGCGGGGTGGGCAGCTGGGACCCTTGTGCCAGCAGCAGAGCGGGCCACAGGGCTGACAGTGAAGTCCTGGCAGCAGTGCATTATGTGGCCAGGACATTGGGCGCAAAACATGGGCATGCTGCAACATTCCCTGCATCCTGACGTCCCGCGCCTATGCTTACTGATTTCTCTGTATTTATTAGCCGATGTTTTTGTTTGCATATTTGGAATATTCAAAGTGCTATCTAAATGGTATATAATAATATTTTGTCAGCAAGTTAAGGGAATATGGACTGGATAAATGGACAGTAAGATAGATAGAAAGCTGACTAGAAAGCCGGGCCCAGCCAGTAGTGATCAACGGCTCGATGTCAGGATGGTGGTTGGTTTCTAGCAGAGTGCCCCAAGGTTCGGTTCTAGGACCGGTTTTGTTCAATAGCTTTATTAATGACCTAGATGAGGGGATGGATTGCACTCTCAGCAAGTTTGCAGATGACACTAAGCTAGGGGGAGAGGTAGATACGGTTGAGGGCAGAGATAGGGTCCAGAGTGACTTACACAAATTGGAGGATTGGGCCACAAGAAATCTGATGAGGTTCAACAACGAGCAGTGTAGAGTCCTGCACTTTGGACGGAAGAATCCCAAGCATTGTTACAGGCTGGGGACCAACCAGCTAAGTAGTAGTTCTGAAGAAAAGGACCTGGAGGTTACAGTGGATGAGAAGCTGGACATGAGTCAACAGTGTGCCCTTGTAGCCAAGAAGGCTAATGGCATATTAGGTTGCATTAAGAGGAGCATTGCTAGCAGATACAGAGATGTCATTATTCCCCTTTATTTGGCTCTGGTGAGGCCACATCTGGAGTATTGTGTCCAGTTCTGGGCCCCCCACTACAAAAAGGATGTGGACGCATTGGAGAGGGTCCAGAAGAGGGCAACCAAAATGATTAGGGGGTTGGAGCATATGACCTATGAGGAGAGGCTGAGGGAGCTGGGTCTGTTTAGTCTGCAGAAGAGAAGAGTGAGGGGGGATTTGATAGCAGACTTCAATTTCCTGAAGGGAGGTTCCAAAGAGGCTGGAGAAAGGCTGTTCACAGTAGTGATGGATGGCAGAACAAGGAGCTATGGTCTCAAGTTACAGTGAGAGAGGTCTAGGTTGGATATTAGGAAAAACTATTTCACTAGGAGGATGGTGAAGCACTGGAATGGGATACCTAGAGAAGAGGTGGAATCTCCATCCCTAGAGATTTTAAGTCTCTGTTTGACAAAGCCCTGGCTGGGTTGATTTAGTTGGGATTGGTCCTGCTTTGGGTAGGGGGCTGGACTTGATGACCTCCTGAAGTCTCTTCCAGCTCTATGATTCAAAGTTTGGGAATTGTCTGGACTTTCACAAGTTAGACAGTCAGTTGGGGTCTCACGAGTTGTATTGAGTCAGGAAAACTGAAAGATGAAAGTAGGGGAAGAATTAGGGATGTGAATGACTAATTGACTATCTGATAAGCAAATGCTTATTGGATAGTCGACACACTAGTCGACTAGTCGCTCCCCCCCCATCTTTGCTGCCTCTATCAGAAAGAGCAGTGGAGGGAAGAGGGGAAGGGGAAGAGAAGAGAGTGCTTCAAAGCAGCAGCACCACATGGAGCCCGGGATCAGCTGGGGACTCGCCTGCTGACCCCAGGCTCCATGCAGTGCTGCTGCTTTGAAATGCTGTGGGAGACTCAGAGTCCCCTGCTGATCCCAGGCTCCATATTGTGCTGCTGATTTGAAATGCCACATGGAGCCCGGGGTCAGCTGGGGGCTCGATGCAGCACTGCTGTTTTGAAATGCCATGGGGAACATGGGGCCAGTGGGGGACTGCTTGAGTCCTCACTGTCCCCGTGCTCCCCACAGCGCTTTCGCCTTTGAAGTGTAGCAAGAGCCCTGGAACTGTTATTACACTCAGAGGCGGAGGCGTACTTATTGACTAACTGAATAGCATCAACTATTCAATTAGCCCATTAAGCTAAATTTAACATTGCTAGGGAGAATACAGCTAAGCATATTAGAAATACAGTACAGAGTTAATTTTCCAGATTAAGTTCTACCTCTCCTTTTTGCTTAGATTCCTTTTAAATTCACTAGTTACCAAACTAGTTAAATAATTTGATTGTTTTAGTGAGGTTTCATCTATAGTGAAATTTCAATTTTCTTGAAGTGAAACTTGTGCCATTTCATTATGTTTTTTATGACTGAAGGCAAGTTAAACATTTTATTCATTTATTCGCTATACATTTTGTATAGTGTACTGTGCATATCACAGCTAAGTGAGACAACAGATGGATTTAGTCACAAAGTCTTCTGAGCTGTAGCTACGAGCTAAGGGTGACAGCAGAATAGCTGGAAAATATTTTGAAATTTTTCTTTTAAGATTTCTTTCTGTGAGAATTGGTTTCCCCCACAGCCACAAGCTCTGCTAATGATTAATGCTCTAGAAATGGATTTATTATTCCATTTTAAATGCCTCTCATTGGTCAGGTACTTTTTCAGGGTTTCCTAAGCACAAAGGGCAGGATTGTTATCCTCTATAGTGCTGCCCATGAGCTTCATCACGAGACCCAAAGAAGAGAAGATTTCTAATGACACTAATAGGTTGATCTAAACTTGCTATTTAGGGCTCTCAAATTCTAAGGGAGTTAAAGGCTGCCAAAACTCACAGGATAAGATCCCAACTGATGTGCTCACACAGTTCTGGCTTTTTAAACATTTCACTGTATTACAGGACTGATGTATATTTGTGTTTCCTCTTACTGATTCC